GATTTCTTCTCTACTATATTATATATATATATATTCCGTTTTAGATTTCTTCTCTACTATATTATATATATATATATTCCGTTTAGATTTCTTCTCTCCTATATTATATATATATATATATTCCGTTTTGATTTCTTCTCTACTATATTATATATATATATCCGTTTTGATTTCTTCTCTACTATATTATATATATATATATATATATATATATATTCCGTTTGATTTCTTCTGTCCTATATTATATGTATTCTGTTTTGAGTTCTTCTCTCCTATATTATATGTATTCCGTTTTGACTTCTTCTCTCCAATATTATATATATATATATATATTCCATTTTGATTTCTTCTCTCCTATATTATATATATATTCTGTTTTGATTTCTTCTCTCCTATATTATATGTATTCCGTTTTGATTTCTTCTCTCCTGTACTATATAATGCCTCATGTTTTGATTCTTTCTATCCAAGTTTGTTTCATTGTCTTTTAGTATCTCCCTAATATATACAATAATAAAAATCCCCAAACGTGTTTAGTCTTAAACTGGGTAAATCAGATTTTTCTAACATTTGAAAAATTAGGGTTTACCAAAAATCTTTGTTGTTGTTTGACCATAAACTAAATATAATAAACCCATCATTTACTTGTGGGTTATTGTTAAACCTTAAACTAAATATAGTAAACCCATCATTTACTTGTGGGTTGTTGTTTGACCATAAACTAAATATAATAAACTCTTCATGTACTTGTGGGTTATTGTTAAACCTTAAACTAAATATAGTAAACTCACCATTTACTTGTAGGTTGTTGTTCAACCTTAAACTAAATATAATAAACCCATCATTTACTTGTGGGTTATTGTTAAACCTTAAACTGAATATAGTAAACTCATCATTTACTTGTGGGTTGTTGTTAAACCTTAAACTAAATATAGTAAACTCACCATTTACTTGTAGGTTGTTGTTCAACCTTAAACTAAATATAATAAACCCATCATTTACTTGTGGGTTATTGTTAAACCTTAAACTGAATATAGTAAACTCATCATTTACTTGTGGGTTGTTGTTCAACCTTAAACTAAATATAATAAACCCTTCATTTACTTGTGGGTTGTTGTAAATAATGTATAAAGTAGCCCTGGTCGTAGGTAAGAAAAATATCATTTAGTTATTTAGTTTTAATAAAGAATTTTTGCGTTTTTCCTAAACCAAGGAGCTACGAAAAATACCCATCTTCTTCTAACCTAAGTCGTTAAATCTAGAAGTTTCTGGATATTCCGAAAAAAGGCATAACTAACATGATGGGCGAGGCCTAAATTTCTGGAACTTTCTAGTTTAAGAAACAATTTAAAGCATATATAAGATGTGTGTTAGGCTAAAGTGAGTGAGTGAGTATGTCAGTCAGTCAGTCAGTTAAATAGATCCAACCCTATTCCTTACATCGTGAAACAGGGTGCTTTAGAGAGGGGAAGAGTTAAAGTTAATTGAAATCCTCATAATAGCATAAAATACCTAAATAATGAATCTCTCTGCTCTGTAGTGAAGTTTATGAAGTATACTTTTATACACTCTTATAAATAACATTGTTATCATCTTTATATTAAAGAGCACCCGAACAAAATTTTAACGAGGATAACTTGAGAAAATATCAAAACTAAACGTGTTTAGTTTAAATAAAAGTGGAAGTTTCATTGTTTATAAATCAGTGAATTTACAAGTTATAAGTAACAAAATTTTACAAAACAATTAATTGGGAAAATAAAATCGTTATGTATTTTACGATCAAGAATCCTGGCGAAAAAGGAGTGAAGAACCAACTTGAAATAGAAAACTACAGGAATGTGTGGGAGATGGCGTTCTACGAAAGTAACAGAATGGACAAGTCCGACAATAAATGGAAAAAAAACTTATTGGAAATGTGAAGGAACAATAGATTGTGAAACATGACATTCCGTCAAAGTAATGGAGTGAAAGTCATATCTGTAGCTACAGTAAAGTACTTTACATGCCTTTCAGTGAAGTAATTGTTTATATTTTTGGACATGTATAAAATAGAACAAACCATAAGGTAACCAAATAATTGTAAGGTTGAAACAAAAATCACTTGGTTTGCCAAATACAAATAAAGATTCCAATATTGAACATACTGACAAAGCAAGTTTTTTATTATTATTATTTCGAAATGAAAATTTCTGAACAAACCTAGTAAGTAAAATAAAAGGAAGAGTACTAGTCACATAGCTGTGGTGAAGAAGCTTTAACACATCCTAGTTACGTGTAAACACTAGTCACATAGCTGTGGTGGAGAAGCTTTAACACATCCTAGTTACGTGTAAACACTAGTCACATAGCTGTGGTGGAGAAGCTTTAACACATCCTAGTTACGTGTAAACACTAGTCACATAGCTGTGGTGGAGAAGCTTTAACACATCCTAGTTACGTGTGAAACACTAGTCACATAGCTGTGGTGGAGAAGCTTTAACACACCCTAGTTACGTGTGAACACTAGTCACATAGCTGTGGTGGAGAAGCTTTAACACACCCTAGTTACGTGTAAACACTAGTCACATAGCTGTGGTGAAGAAGCTGTAACACACCCTAGTTACGTGTAAACACTAGTCACATAGCTGTGGTGGAGAAGTATTAACACATCCTACTTACGTGTAAACACTAGTCACCCAGCTGTAGTAGAGAAGCTTTAACACACTCTAGTTACGTGTAAACACTAGTCACATAGCTGTGGTAGAGAAGATGTAACACATCCTGCTTACGTGTAAACACTAGTCACATAGCTGTGGTGGAGAAGCTTTAACACACCCTAGTTACGTGTAAACACTAGTCACATAGCTGTGGTGAAGAAGCTTTAACACATCCTAGTTATGTGTAAACATCAGTCACGTTGCTGGAGTGAAGAAGCTTTAACGCATCCTAGTTACGTGTAAACATTAGTCACGTAGCTGTGGTGAAGAAGCTTTAACACACCCTAGTTACGTGTAAACACTAGTCTCATAGCTGTGGTGAAGAAGCTTTAACACATCCTAGTTACGTGTAAACACTAGCCAGGTAGCTGGGGTGGAGAAGTTTTGACACACCCTAGTTACGTGTAAACACTAGCCACGTAGCTGGGGTGGAGAAATTTTAACACATCCTACTTACGTGTGAACACAGTCACGTAGCTGTGGTGGAGAAGCTTTAACACATCCCAGTTACGTTTAAACACCGGTCACGTATCAGATGTTCATTGACAAGTTAACTGTTTAACGATTCACTGATAACTATATCTTACTTCTTCCTGTCAAGACACAATAACATATTTATATATGTAATTTGTAGTCTATGATGAGTTGTTGAATAACATATTTATAGTTATGTAATCTATGATGAGTTGTGTTTTCTCGCGTTGTTATATCCTTTAGACTATAAATGACCGAAAAGAAACTTCTCAATATCCAAGCACCCAGTAGATTAAATACGAACTCGGTACCATTGTGAATTGGACTGGAATAATATAAACGGCTCATGGTTTATGTACCACGTCCCACTCATTTGGTTATTTTAATATTAATAAACATTGTAGTGAACTAACAAAAAGGAGTCAAAACACTTTGGAGAAGGTCTTTGGTGTTTCATTACATTATCTGAAGAATATCCATAAAGAACTAGGAGATACTCCAGTGTGTTACAATCTACAGGAGATTTCTACCAAAGAATACACTAATACTCTATTAGAAAGGACAGATCTTGGTGGTGTATGCAATGATGAAACCCGAGAAAGTTTGAAATATTTCCTTACAAGTGTGTCAACCGTGGCTTGTTTCCTCAACAATAAAAACACATAAGATTCTACACTAATTCATATCAACGCTCTCAGAAATCTAGCAGAAAACTATGGAGTTTCAAGTAAAAATCTTGAACTACTAAGCAGGAAAATTTTAAAACATCCTCTTTGAAGGATGTCAGACACGAATTCTTCTCTCAACAATTACAGCATATTCGATTTTTACTCCTTCTTATCAACGAACTTTCGAATCGAATAGAAAGCTATAAACTTACAAGTGAAATTCTTGAACAACTACGTGCTATGTGCAATTTCTGCCTAGACATGCTCCTATAAGTGTGTGAAAGAAGGCTTATTTTACTGATCTACTAAATATAATCATAAATTTAATAGACTCACAGCCGATACCAATGTCAGTTGTGGAAACATTTGTTGGTCATAGTGAGAGAATCAACCCATCAAAGTCACAAAATCACTTCTGTTTGGATCACATTTACACAATACAACATTTACTGGTAATAGAGAGAGATACAACTCACCAAGGTCACAAAATCACTACTGTTTGGAACACATTTACACAATACCTGAATTAAGTAAATTTTTGATGAAAAGAAAATTTAGGTGCACTTTTGTTCTCAGTAAAAACTATTTTGAGCCCAATGGATATCACTACATGGTGAGAAAAGATGGATACAGGAAACCAATACTACATACCATGGAAAATAGTGAGAAAAGATGGATACAGGAAACCAACACTACATACCGTGGAAAATGGTGAGAAAAGATTGATACAGGAAACCAATACTACATACCATGGAAAATGGTGAGAAAAGATGGATACAGGAAACCAATACTACATACCATGGAAAATGGTGAGAAAAGATGGATACAGGAAACCAACACTACATACCATGGAAAATGGTGAGAAAAGATGGATACAGGAAACCAACACTACATACCATGGAAAATGGTGAGAAAAGATGGATACAGGAAACCAATACTACATACCGTGGAAAATGGTGAGAAAAGATGGATACAGGAAACCAATACTACATACCATGGAAAATGGTGAGAAAAGATGGATACAGGAAACTAATACTACATACCGTGGAAAATGGTGAGAAAAGATGGATACAGGAAACCAATACTACATGCCATGGAAAATGGTGAGAAAAGATGGATACAGGAAACCAATAGACATGATCTACCATATAAGGATGGATACAATACTGGTATCAAACCTGGAATCCAATAGACACGATCTACCATACAAGGATGAATACAATACTGGTGTCAAACCTGGAATCCAATAGACATGATCTACCATATAAGAATGGATAAAATACTGGTATCAAACCTGGAATCCAATAGACATGGTCTACCATATAAGAATGGATACAATACTGGTATCAAACCGGGAATCCAATAGACATGATCTACCATACAAGGATGGTAGAAATATATCACCTAAACTTAAATATGTTACCTTATAGAACATAAAACGAATACACATTGTCCTAGTTTCTTAGTGTAGTGTCTCTAATAAAAAAGTAAGGTATTGTACACAGTATCGTTCTGTCTATGTCAGGTTTCTTCTTGAAGAACGCTTTTATTGTACAAATAATTTTAAAACAAGACCAGATTACAACCCTGATTACCAGATAAACTTACAACTGGAGTCAGGCTTGTGGATTTCACCCATTTAATGCAGTATATTGAAGTTCAAAATAACAAACATCTTTGTAGAATACAAACTGTTTAACTTTCGAAAGTAAAGATAATAAAAAAAAACATGGGCTTGGAAATAGTTTTGATGACATCTAAGGTAATACATAATGTATAGAGTTTGGTGTATTTTAGTTGAGATTATCCATCTAAAGTAATACATAATGTATAGAGTTTGGTGTATTTTAGTTGAGATTATCCATCTAAATTAATACATAATTTACAGAGTTTGGTGTATTTTAGTTGAGATTATCCATCTAAAGTAATACC